AGAGATAGCGATCTTCGGATTTTATCAAAACTTCTCTAGTCTATCCCCATTCAAACGGTATACTAATCTTGTTTAAATAATAACAACAACTTCACAAATTCCTTAAATTAGTGCATTGACTCAACTCGGACTGATATTCAAATTTTGAATTTTGAACCTTTTTTACTTTACAATAAGTTCAAAGCAGGTAAAAACTTCACAAAATATTTACTTTGAGGCTACGCCTAGTAGTTCTTTTTTTAATTGAAATTAAATGATGCGATTTGGGTATTTTGGTGAAATTACTAAAAAAATAATATAAAAGTAGCCGCCTGGCATGGAACGTGTTATGGGGGTTGAAAGTATAGGAAATGACCCATTCTATCCGCCAAATCATTTTGGCACACGATGCGCCAAACACCCTGTATATTAATTCACAGTGGGTTTCATGCGCTTGTACCTATAGACTTTGACGTGGTGCAATATTATCTTTTTGTGAGGCATTATGAGAGCGGTCGAGCGGTCTCGTGTCACGGCAATGACAATCAAATACGGTTCAAGCACTTTGTGTTTTATCCTAAAAAGTTTTAATTGTTATTATTTAAATTAAAATTAAAATGAGCCTTTATTTGTCGCCCACCGCCCAGCCTATATAATAATGTGTACGTGATACAATCATCTGCCGCAGGCGAAGCTCTGCACAAGACTTCATTATGTAGGCACATAACTCCACACACCCATAATTTTACAGCGTAGAGCAAACATCATTAAATCGGTAAATAAGTTGTTAATATTACATTTGATTTGAAATTAAGAGTTGAAGTAGAAAATATTACTACTACTAATAAAAATATTGTAAAGGTGAAATAGCACCCAACGTCTCAATGTTTATTTGATGTGACCATTTTCATCTTTCCTTATTTGCCAATACAATAATAATATCGCTATATCAGCGACCTAAATCAATCCTTCAGTCGGTTAAATACAAATCCTCTCAGTTTAGTAACCTGCACGATCCAATTATACAGGTACAAGGGATATCCAGATATTCAGTTATGATTTATATTCATACAGCATACAGCTTACAAACAGTAGCGGTATATACAATATTATTGTAAGTTGATATCTTTATTATGTATGATATGTGAGAAACATATGGACGAGATAATGAAGTGTTTGGCGTGTATTTTATGATCTGATTTATTTACGTACATATCTTTGATTATTTATATTTATACAGACTCTTCTTGATGGGTCTATGAATGAGGCAAAAATTCGAGAGATTTCGTTCCACATTTATTATCGAGCGATGAAGGTTTATTAAACTTTTCAAAACAACAATTCAAAACCATGCATTATATTGTTCTTTTTCAACTTTTGCAAGGTATAATTATTCAGAAGCTGTAATCTATCTTAATGTCGGCGAAGCATAGTTTTGTTGTGTCTCGCAAAATATTTAGCATGCAATTTGTCATTCCGACCAACAGTTCGCAGTGCGCCGGTGACACGCATACCGTGTTCCTGCGCATACCGCCGGGTCGGAAGAATGTTAATTGCGACCCGGTTCGTATGCGCATTTTAACCGGATTCCGGATGCGCCGTGCATCGTCGTACGGTGTTTTAGATTCCATTAATGTGTTATGGAATTATTAGGGCACACTTGTATTGAATTTTATCATCATCATCATCATCAACAGCCCTTTACAGTCCACTGCTGGACTATGAGCCTCCTCCACTATAGTGGAGGGTTTTGCCATAATCTCTTATTAATTGAATTTTATAATATTTCTCAATTTGTGGGTTCTTAACTCTAGATAAATTCAATAGCTGCCTAGAGCTAGTCGGATTTTAAAATAAATAATAAAATTTTAGTCATGTTGATTTCTCTCAAAGACGTAGAAAGGTTGAAAGTAAGACACAATAGTCAAATACTAACTAGAAACACTTGATATAAATCTAAATCAAATAAGTTATGAGACGTTCTTAATGACTTTCCTTTCTAGGTATTCCAGTTAAGTTTTAAAATTAAGTGTACTTAATGGTCTTACCGGCCATAGGTAAGATTATGTTCAGGCAGTAGGTACATAATGTTTGCGAGCATCGCCTCCGTGGGTAATTTTATTTGGACGCATCTCGACGGCGAGCACGATGCATTATAATAATGTTAATGAAACCGTTTACGGCTAGACTGGCAGCAAGAAATATCTTGAATATTTTAATACAGCGAAGTATGGACTATCTATCTATCCACATTTAAGATATAACGCTTAGAATTGTTCAAAGCACAGAAAGTACAAATATTCACTCTTTAATAGGTATACTTTTACGTATCAGGTAGAAAAAATCAGTCGTAAGAATGCGAACGACTTAGGGAACAGACCCACTTAGAGCTGAAACAACGTTGAAGTAGGAGATAAGTGATCTCGGTCCTCCGTTCCTCTCGGCCGCCTCAAGGGAAATTCGGGAACAATTTAATTGTGGACGGCGACTGGCGAGTGCTCCTAGTGGAGGAGTGCCTACTGGCTGCTGGTACAAGCCATGGACAATAGCAACACTATTACTTTCGTGTTTATTGTGTTATCCAAGATTCAAAGTCTGCTTAATTATGTGTTCTGTTAGAATCCTTCCTTAGTGGATCTTAGCTCGGGTACAAAGCGATAAAAGGTTATTTGTTTTGATGTTATTATGGGATAAAGTATTCGTACTTGTAGGATTGCGAGCATTTAGTTCAAGGAAACATAGAGAAAATAAAATAAATTCCAATATTTCTCAGGAACTGAGAGTCAAATACCTACTATTTGTCTAAAGTTACAGACCTTTACCATCTTGGGTTTGGCAATGAAGGTCAGATTCCAAGTAAGTTAGATTCCGAGTAGACCAGATTCCAGCTAGGTCAGATTTTGTCCAACGCCTTTTCGCGCCTCACGCGTAACCTCCATGTGTCCACCGCTGAATCCGATGACTTGTACCACGCTCCAGACCGGAGCAGCAGTCAGCAGCCGTCTCTCGGAAGGTACCTGCGTGTAATAAGTGTTGGGCGCCGTGTGAGTCGCCGTGGCGGGTATGCGGCGTGCGTGCTTCATATTTCAGCCCTGAAATATAGCGCGGTGGACTTGCGGCTATTAGGTTTAACCTTGTTCATGGTGGCTCTTATTTGGAAAGGACTTGAGTTATGAACTGATTATGTCTTTAGCGGATTATCTATTGACCTAACGTAGATTTCAAAGGCGTATGCATTTATTGGCCATTGAGGCTTGAAAACGTTGATTGGTATTTGGTAGAAAGTGTAAATGTTATAAGTCCACTATTGCATGCCGTGGCAACCTATAATTAAGGCAGCACTTAGATTAAGTTTAAATACTATGTAAATATTGATTGTCTTATAGTGTATGTCTTGTTGGTTGTCATAAATAAAAAAGAAAACATTGAGTAAAACTGTTGACATTTACCACTCGTAGTCCAGTAGAATTAGCTTTTAAATCGGAAATAATTCCTACAAAAGATTTTATTGTTTAAATGGCTTCATTGGTTGCCCATTAAGACTCTCCTAAGTTTTCGACTTCGACGGAGTTGTGCTTAAGTGGTGGGGGCCCCCGAAAGGGGCATTTTTTCGGTTTTCCGGTTATACCGCGTAAAGGACTTACCCTATCAAAAAGTGGTCTTCATGACGGTTGAAGGGCACTTAATCCTGCATTGAATAAGACCAAATTCATATGTTTTGGACAAACCGTTCTCGCGCTAAAGTTCGGCAAAGTAGAAAATATACGTATAATTAATGACCCTCTCCATGTCCAATGGTTTGTTACCCACAGGCTTCCAAGTCTTGAAAAGGGCCACCTCAACCAGTGTAACCCTATCAAGGCTTACGAGCTTGATGCGCCTATCCTTGTTCGTCCCAGCCGTTCCTTAACTGCGGTTGCTGCACCTCTTCCTGGCACTCACCTGAACGACTCTGTGTTACCTACTGTGGCTGCCCCTCTTCCTTGTATCCTCCTGCATGACTACGTTGCCTAGCCGTATGCCTGGTCTAAGGTTCGACGCCAAAAATCAACAACAACAAGTTCATATTAAAACGCTGAAGAGTTTTTTGTTTGTTTGTTTGAACGCGCTAATCTTAAGAATTACTAGTTTGATTGAAATCATTATTTTTGTGTTGAATAGCTCATACATTGAGGAAGGCTATAGGATATATACAATCACTCTACGACTAATAGAGGCGAAGCAGTAAAGAAAAATGTTGCAAGCACGGGAAATAGTATTTAAACTATTTTCACTCGTACGAAGTTGATTTTGTGGCGTCGAACCTTGGACCAGGCATATGGCTAAGCAATGAAATCGTACAGGAGGGTACAAGGAAGAGGGGCAGCCACATTAGGTAACACAGAGTCGTTCAGGAGAGTGCCAGGAAGAGGTGCAGCAACCGCAGTTAAGGAACGGCTGGGACGAACAAGGATAAGCGAATCAAACTCGTGAGCCTTGTTAGGGTTACACTGGTTAAGGCGACCCTTTACAAGGCTTGGAAGCATGTGGGTAACAAGCCATTGGACGTGGAGAGGGTCATTAATTATACGTATATTTTCTACTTTGCCGAACTTTAGCGCGAGAACGGTTTGTCCAAAACATATGAATTTGGTCTTATTCAATGCAGGATTAAGTGCCCTTTAACCGTTATAAAGACCACTTTTCGATAGGGTAAGTCCTTTACGCGGTATAACCGGAAAACCGAAAAAACGCCCCTTTCGGGGGCCCCCACCACTTAAGCACAACTCCGTCGAAGTCGAAAACTTAGGAGAGTCTTAATGGGCAACCAATGAAGCCATTAAAGCAAAAAAATCTTTTGTAGGAATTATTTCCGATTTAATCAATTTTTGTGTTTAATTCTACTGGCCTATCGTACGTTATTTATTACAATAGGACATGCTTTTTTATTGATCTCATTTTATTTTCTCCATTTTTCCAAAATACTGATAAAACCAAACTTTGGTGATATCGAAATAGAGCTGGCGCACGTCATCTACGAGTTAATAATAAAACCGAACTGGGACCTTTCGGACACGTTCAAAGGAGCAATCTTTGCAGTCATCAAATGACGTGGCTGCCTCAGTGCCGTCCAAAATAAACGCCTGGAGTTGTTTGCCCCCGCATCCAATTTGCAGCGTGGGCAGAGCAAACTCGACGACCTCCGTCGCTCGAGATGGCTTTAGCGTGCGTTGGTCCAGGGGTATACATACATAGGTGCTTATCCAGCTTATAAACAATTTGTCGATGTACACCTACCAAAACATGTTTACCAATATCTACAAGTAATTACATATGCTTCTAAAAATATTATAGAGCCGAGCCAGAACAGTTTTAGATTTGTAGTGATAATAATTATTTTATTTTTATTTATTTATTTAATAGGACAACCAACAAGACATACACTGGAAGACAATCAATATTTACAACGTATTTAACTTAATCTAAGTGCTGCCTTAATTATATGTATCAGGTATTGAAGTTTTTGGTCTGTGTGTTTTTGTAAAAATATAAATCCATATTAGTAGACTTGAATTATTACGATACTCTAAAAGAACATAGCGTCACGGTTCAGTTTGTTGACAATTCATTTTGATTTGTGATTCGTCGTCAACATTTCAAATAATTTATTGAAACAAAATGTAATGGTCTCCTTGCGTCGAAGAAGTCACAATGCCTACACCCGAGCGCCGAACAATTCTGTCGTTATATTCGCCGAATATTTGCCTACTGCTCGGAGACGCGATTCATTAAGGCCGGGTAGCAGAGATAATGGCGAAAATGAGGTTTTCATTTTTCATTTTTGAGGTACTAAACAGTAAAATTAAAGGCTAAGATTTTTATTGGGCATAGTTGAGGATATTTTTTAGGGCTATTAACGGATGGAAACACGATTTGATGAAGTTGAATCGATAGAATATATTCCCAAAGTTACCTCTATTCGTTTTCTAAAAACCGGCCAAGTGCGAGTCGGGCTCGCGCACAAAGGGTTCCGTAGCAGCAAATATAATAAACTTATTATGTCAATTTAATCAACCTATCTCAAAAACTATAAGAGATACTTTGATCAAACCAAAAATCGTTGAAAGAGTTAATTAGCATGCATCACCTCTATTTTTTTTAGAATTTNAAATACCTACTTTAGCAGAAATACCAAGCCTTAAGCCCTCGAGAGGAAGCTTCCCGAAACGAAGCGTAAATGGACAAATAAAAAACGTACGAGTTGTTCTGAGTGCAGCTACATAAGTCTTTATGCAAAAAGTGTGATTTTTTCAACTTTTCCTCAAACAATATTTGAAAGATCATGATTATTATCTTTGGTATCTGTACTAGATAGCCTTTGTGATGCATCTGCATATACTATTGTAGAGTCATTAAAGTCCATTGTGATGCAAGTATGCTAACTTGGTTATTACAGTGAAGGCGAGATCACTCGCCCATGCATAAGTTCACTTTAGGGAAAGGCGTGGAAGATAAGTGACGGTTAGAATATTAACGGTAAAAAGTAACTTACCTACTTATTTTATTCACAAATTATTTACAGTAAATTTTGCATTTTTGAACAATTTATTTAAAACAAACTTGACTTGCATTTGACACATTTTCAAGAATATGAGTCAACACCGAATGATGAAACCAATTGGATATCAAACACAAAAGTTCAATTCAAGAATCTCGGTAAATAATAATATTCATCTATTCTATTTATTTATGTAATTATTACTCGTATATCATGCACGAAAGTTAGAAGAAAACTTTGAAGTTATGTGCCCCAAAGTAACATCGTTGGTCTCTTTATACATTTGTATCGATTACCAAGGCATTCAATTTAAAGTCTGTCGAACTATGTGACCCCTAATTCGGGGGGGTAGGTACGGAACTGGGTTAGATTAGCATAGGAGGAGGCAAGGAGTATTGTTTACTCATTGAGTGGCATTGTTCTGGGCGGTAGCCATGATTAAAGTTTCAAAAGGATTGTTTGTTGAAGACTTCATTTAAGACCTTAAATTTTCAGTACTTTATCAGAAAATCTAATATTTAAACTACGTTATTGAAACTGTTTACAAATTCATAGGTCAAACTATAAACTTTTAAATTAATAGGCAAACCCTTGTGATTTTAATTGACCGTTAAACCTTTCCATGTTATCATAACGAGCGGAACTCGTCGTGTATGCAAATACTCGGAAAGAAATATTAGAGCGAATACTGACCAGGGGTTTTTTTTTTTTTTTTTAATCTCCGGCTGAAATTGCCGGAGTTCGGTTTCAGACAAAACGATTTGTTGAGTATGAAATCAATAATGTATTCTTTTTAGAGCAAGTGGTGGTAGTTTCTCGCTAATGTCTACGAGCAAACTTGTAGTCTCCATACTTTATAGACGTTTATTTTTATTTATGTACAAGGTTTTAAATTTACAAATGAACTTAGCATTTTACAGCAGTTCTTTTCTTTTAGGTATATTATTCTATTTTTTTTTTCTTTTTATTTTGTTTTAATACATACATAAATTTAAATACCTATCATATATACTTTATGTACACTTACATTTATTGCACAAAATTTAACTTACGTACTATTGTATTCTTTTAAATTAATAAATAAATATCCTTGGACATTTTTTTACACTGCGCCTCTAGTCCCAAACTAAGCAAAGCTTGTACTATGGGTACTAGACGACGGGATAAACATACTTATATACTTTTTTTTTTTTGTAAATACATACATATTATACATAGAAAACACCCAGACCCGTCACAGAAATTAAAATTCATCATTTCAATTTCTGCCCGGCCGGGAACCGAACCCGGGACCTCTCGGTATAGTAGTCCGTTCTGAACCACTACACCAAACGGCCGACAAATTATTTACAATATACAATTTACATAATTGGATGAATGATTGGATGGCGCTTTCCCTCTTTAACAGGTCCGATATTTCAAAGGGGTTAACTTTAAGGTATTGGCATATAGCCATGTGCTGTACTCTTTGCCGGGCAAAACGTGGACATTCTTTGAGTAGGTGAAGTATATCCTGAACAGCATTTGTGTCGCAATTGCACTTATCGGTCTCGACTATCTTGAACCGATGTAAGTATTGTCGGTGATAGCCAGGGGTAGGTATTACAGTATTTAGTTAGACTATCCATTTTTGTTCAGAATCAATGAAGGTCTTACAGATTATTACAGCCAGCAAATGTATTGTATTATTGCTACCCTGTATACGAAAGTAAAGTTGTAGACACCCTACTCACTGGATTTAGTAAGTTTGTTAATAAGATTCCCCCGCGATGCTGGCTTAACCACTTTGTTGGAGGCGTTAGCGAAAAACGCGAGCATTCTGTTCTTTGTTCGAACATATTTTAATTTAGCTTTACCTCTCTGTTGCTACCAGTAAGTATGTACCTGTAAAAATTAAAGTTCTGTTGTCACTGTGCGCGTTATACTCTACGGCAGTGGTTCCCAAAGTTGTCTGGGCTACGACTCATCTAATACAAGTTCCCAAACTGGGGACCCACTTATAGGAAATTTAACCATTACCAATATACCTAAAATAAAGGATTATCTACAAGCAGGGCCCACTCAATGTTCGACCCACAGTTTGGGAAACCCTGCTCTACGGTGTACATAAAAGTTATAACGGAGTTCCTTACTCAGATGCGCATATAGCTTGTTTTCTATTTTATATCGAGGTGAAACGCAAATGAAATTGCGCGCTTTTGACAAGATGATCCGACCATTGAACCGATTGAAACGCGGCCGCGGATCATGCCGCCCGCTTTATTATTCAAAACCTTGTTATTGTGCGTGGCCCCACTATGTGCTATTGGCGGGAATAACCGTTAAAAATTCTAAAATATGCAAAGTAATTATCTTAATTAAAATCAGAAATGAGACATACTTGAGTTAATAAGGCGAGGCAGAACATGAAAAGAAAATCAGAAGTGGGACATGCTTGGAGATTTATTTTTATAACTTAATATGAAACAATATACCTAAATCTTTATTATGTTGGTTAAATCTAGTTTTGAAAGTTAAAGATTCAATAATTATTAAAAACTACGTAGTAAAAAAATACAAATGTTGTAACTCTAAATGGCGTCAAAATACGAGTACTGCACTACCATGAAGGAAATAGGAACAATATAATTGACACAGAGGAGTAGAAGGAGAGTCATACTTTAACATCCAATTTTATTGGTAACTTATATGTCAATTGCAAGCGTTTCTCGATAAAAAGCGTTTAAAAATACAACGTAATTAATAAGACTTATCTACACACTTACGCCACAGCTTACAAATAGTTCCGCTCGCAGTGGGGCGCCGCCCGCGCGTTCACACAACATGAATATTCAGCGCTCACTCAGCCTCCGCGTTATGTGTTTGAGTGCGAGCGAGTTATAACGCACCGTGAATTCCGTGGCGAACGCTCAGTGTGGTTGACACCTGGCGTTTTGGTCGGGACTGGAATATCGTCTCATCATTATCATGACAACTCTATAAAATATTGATCATTATTTTTCGATTTCGTAACAAGCATCTGTTCCAATCGCATAGGTAAATAAGTAAAATTTTATAAAAAAAAATAAAACCGACTCCAAAAAACCTACACTAAAACGTAGAAAAATAATTACTAATTACCTACTTATTTATTAGGACGAATTAAGGGAGAGTCCGCTAATTTGGACCAGTTTTTTTCAATCCCATTTTACACATAGTTTTCTTTTGTTTTTGCTAATGTCCATGGTATATAATAAAAGATACATTATTCAACTTACTATTTCATAAGTATTAATTAACATGATTGTTGTATATTTAGCACAAATCAACAAAGTACGAGTTCAGAGCTTCGGTCCAATTTAGCAAACCGGTTTGATAATTTGTACCACAGGGTTACTAAATTGAAAAAAATTGGTTCATAATCGGCGGAGATATTGCGTATAAAAAAGTTCATCCCCAATTTTCCACCCTTGGGGGTGAAATATTTTCTTCAAATTCGCATGAAACCACCCTTTTGATAATACCTATTCATCAAAAAAATAATCGTTCAAATTGGTTTGTAATCGGCGGAGATATTGCGTATAAAAAAGTTCATCCCCAATTTTCCACCCTTGGGGGTTGTTTTTTTTATTATTAAATTTAAATGGGACCACCCTTGAGGTATTACCTATACGCCGAAAAAAGATTTGTTCAAATCAGTTCATAATTGGCGGAGTTATCGCGTAACAAACATAGAAAAAAAAAACATACGGGTCG